TGTCTCTGCTGCTTCACATTTTCCATGGTCTTCCACAAGAGGGATTTTGCTATTTTGAGACAGTTTTACTGTGTAGCGTAGGCTGCTTCAGAATTATAGGTATGTGCCACCATGCCTGGCTCCCAATTTTGTGTGTGTGTGTGGTAGTGAGGTTAAAGTGCACTTTCTGGGCAGGCACTCTATCTTCTTCTTTTATTGTGTGCTTTTTGAAATGATAGTTTTTCTTGGAAAATAATGTTCCCTGCCCCTCTCATTTGATTTCTTATTTTATAGGTTATTTTGTTATTATAAGAGTTTTGGGTTTTGTCGATTGTTTGTTTTTTTCCCTGAAGATTTGGGACTAGAAGTGGCTCCAAAGATGTTAATTTATTTAGTCTCTCTGCCTGGTGTCCTCCCAGTCAGAAGGGGTTAGACTAGTCAGTGCTTCTGTGCCCTTCCCTCCTAGCTTCTGGCTGCCTCTTCCCTTTCTGATAATTCTGGATCCCTAGCTCTGCTTGCTCTGGTCCTTATTGAAACTGACTCTTAGAAAACATTAAATTAGCTAATTTGACTACATATGTGTATGAACACACACCTGTATAGTACTTGAATACAGTATGTTTTAATGACTACATAGACTAAGTTATTGAAACTTTACAGAACTCCTATGAAGTAGATGCAGTTGTTACCACATTTTGCACAGGAAGAAACCTAAGTCCAGTGGTGGCAACTGACTTGTACTAAGTCATACAGCTGAGAAATGGGAGAGTCAGGATTTATCTAAGGCAGTCTCTGATTCCACAATCTGTATTTTTTACCACTGTGTCTGTCATGTTTTCTCTCTGTCTCTTTCTTTCATCAAACTCCATGTTCATATCCATTAATGTTTATATAGTCATGGTCACTGAAAGTATCAAGTTGGTTATAAATATAAGTCTGTAAACATGCATTGAAGTAAGTAGTCATGATAATTATTATGGTTAACAGTTAATGAAATACTTCCAGGCATTCTTCTAAGTACTTAAACTATTCTGTGATGAACTCCCAACAGCCCAACAACTTGGTACCACTGTTATCCTACTTTTTAGGTGAGAAAATTGTAGTTTAGGATTAAATGATTTCTACTGGATTATACAGTTAACAAAGATGGAGCCTGAATTGAAGCCTAGACTGAGTCTCTTAAAATAGGATTAGCAAGAACTGTTACCATTCATTGAGTCCTGTGACATCCTAAGGACTGAGGAAACATGACTTATATGGCCTCACTTCAGTCATCTTCTGGGAGGGGGTTATTTTGGCCTCATTTTTTATGATCAGTGTTCCTATTTGTTCTCAAGATTGTCCTATGTTAAGCAATTGAATCTGTGGTTGATGGACAGATGAGGAAACTGTGTTTAGAGAACTGTGTAGCTTGAGCAAGGCCACACAGCGTAAGTAGGTGGACTGTGGTTTGAACTCTGATCTACCTGCTGGAAGAGGCCAGGCTGTGAACTGTTACAGCTACCTACCTGTCTCCTCAAGTTTTGCTGCCTCCTTGAGAGCAAATCTGGCCAAAACCAAAAATCAAAACAAACAAACCAAACTAAACAAAACAACAGCAACAACAGAAAACAAGGTCTGCTGGTAGAAATACTCCCTGCCTCGGCTTGAGCCCTGGGGCCAGCTGGGATAGCTGGTGACTGGTCTGTGTCAGGGCTTTTGCCTTCCTCCCTCCTTCCCTTCCCCTCCCTCCTCTTCTTCCCCCCATTTCTCTCCTACCAGAGAAGGATCCAACTGAGCTACCAACTTTTGTAGTTCAGTGTCTGGAGAAAGAAAGTTGCATAGTCTGTACCAGAATTTGCTAATTATTCATGGATTTTATGCATAGACACTTGGGGCTCAACTATGGACCTGCGTGTGAGTTCCAGGAAGCTTTTGGATCTGTGAGTGTAGGGGGCAGGCATCCCATGGAACGTAGGCTTATGTTCTTCAGGCTCTCAGCCTTATATTATGTAAGCCCTGTTTTTCTCTCAGCATTAATAAACTTTATTTTCCCTCAAGTTGTAGGAGAGAAAGAGAGGCCCTATGGAAAACTTGAAAACCAAAATATATTCCTGTGCAATAAAAAAGCCACTGCTATCAATTCCTTCTTTATTAGTTTATTTTTAGATCCATTTGCCATGCAAGTGACTCTCACACCACCCTCCCTTTGTATGATATGCCAGAGGGAATAAGAGGACTGATTCTTAGGAAAAAGGCCATATTTAAGAAGACCCATCTCTGCAATGATGAGGAAGTAATGCAGACTTGCCATGCAGATTAAGAGATGCACTGGAAGAAGTCCTATTTAGGGAGAAGATTTTTTTCCTTATGCTTTCGGGGTGGGGGCAAAAGGAATGCTGAAAATGACAGCAGTCATCTGTATTCTGGAACAGGCCACTTCCTAAGAGCAGGAGTAGTGGCCTTCACCTCTGACAGCCTATACTGACTTTGGGTTTTGGAGTGGAGAATAGGGCAGTGAGCCTTTCATTTCCTATACTGGTATTGTAATAAAGAAAACTAACTTTAAGTCCTAATTAAAGTCCTGTTTCATTTAAGTCCTGTTTCCCAGGGAGGGTTTTCTTCCTCCCATCCCTGGTGGGAATTACAAATGCCAGGCAGGAGCTAAGAGTGAGTTTGTCCTTCCTCACTGAAGCCTGGAGAAGTCTGGTATCCTTTATCAGATGGAAGGTGTTTGGCTGTTTCCTCTTCTCTAGCCATGGTATTTTAAAATTGACAGCCTTGTAGTGATCCCGGGTGATGAGAAAGAGTCTGACATTTTAAAGTTTCAGAGCATGTTTTCCAAGCCTTCCTTGGTTGCTAATGGGAATAATAATGCCATATTGAACACTTATCTCCGAGATGCCTGGGTAAACAGCCATAAATCTTCCTGGCACTGGGAGCAATAGCATGGCTGGTCCTGGAACTCCCTGCCTCAGTCTCCTTCTCTTGGGTTCTTTTGGTGCAAAGCCGTTCATAGACATTAAAGGAGATAGCACTTAGGGCTCAATGTCAGTGTCTCCTCCATGCCCTTCTCTGGGCCTGCCTTTTCCTTTCTCTTTTTCATGGGTGGGATTTTGGGGGAAGTCCCTGAACATAGAAGGAAAATGAAATGTGTGTTCTCTTGGAAAATGGAAAATGCTGGGTAGGAAAGCGGGAGGGAGAGATGGTACCGCGGAACGTGGTGGCTGAGGGTTTGGCAACGCCTACACTTCAGATGGAGGAAGAGGCTTGTGTGTGTGTGGGCGAGGGGTGTGTTCGAATATGTGACATTGATTTTCTGGTTTGTAATGTTGCCTTTAGGGAAAGAAAGATGGCCTCTTGGAGCATTTTCTGCTGCTGTAACAGAATACCACAGGTTGGGTAAACAGTGAACAATGGTAGGTTGTTTGGGCCACTGTTAGGGCAGCTGTGAAAGCCAAGGCTGAGGGGTCCCCACTGGTGAGGGCCTTCTTACTGTGTTGTAACTCAGTGGAAAGCTAAGCAAGCATGCTCAAGACTCAGAGGAAAACCAGGCCTAAATTGTCCTTTTTCCCAGGCACTGACTCCTGTCATAATGGCATTAATCCATTCAGAGTTAAGCCCCGTGTCTTTGTCACCATACAAGAGTGCCAGCACTTAATACCATTACAGTGGCAATTAAAATTTCAATGTGAGTTTTGGAGGAGCAATCAAAACATCAGATACCTCTCATTCCTTCTCATTCCCCCAACATCCTGCCCTCTCAGGGGGCTCCATAGTAACAGACCTTCCCAGTTGCCTTTATACTTCTTATGTTTCTAATGCCAGGGTGTCTGCAGCCATAGTATGTCCTGTCATAAAGAGTGACATTAACACTGGTTCAGTTGTTAATGCCTCCGTGAGTCCTTCTGCTCACTCACGGGGACCTTGGGCACTCCACATAGCATCTCTGGGGATCTTGATAGACAGAAAATGAGACAGATGATAATAAAGCTTACCCATTAAGGCTGCAGTTCTTTCCTCGTTTAAAAGTCTTGTCATTTTAACTAATACAAGTTAGAAAGCAAGGCTTCTTTCCTTAAGGAAATTTTGTTTATAGTATATGAAAAGAAAAGTTACTGCATTTTTTATTTTTTGGTAGAATTTACCTGATGTTCACCTTGAAAGGACATATGCCCGTGGGCATTTTAAAGGGGAAAAAAAAAGAATTGAGACTTCTGAAGTTATCTAAATAAATATTCTGGATATGTATTGCTCTGAAAACAAAATTCAAAACAGCTTTTGGAAATACCTGTCAGTTGTATCTTACACTGTGCTGAACTTGGGAAGTTGGCCTGTCAGATTTGTAGTTGCTCAGGCTTTGGAGTTTTTCCATCTTTGTGACAAGCAGGAGAAACGTAAATTCTGGTCAGCTTCCAGAGAGCCACAGCTCCATCTTTCATCTTATTTTTGAAGGCAAAAATGATAGATGGAAATCTCTAGGGAGTATGAATTGTAAGTGTTCTTGTTGATTTACAAATACCTTAAGGAAAAGAACCATCTTAGTTTTCTTTTTATTCACTTAACATATTTATTGGCATTTGAAGCAGTTGAGTGTAGCTTTCTGGAGCTGAAAATGTCTTGGATTTAGAGTGAAAAGACTTGATTCGGTCCTGCTGTGGCCTTGTATGACGCAGCTGAAGTCAGTTTCACTCCACAAATAGTTACCGAGTGACTGCTGGGTTCCAGGTGCTATGCCAGGTGCATTTCCAGGTGCTATGGCAGCTGCAATGCACACAGCCAGGAACCAGCTGGTCACTGAGTCTCTGGTCTGTACAACTGGGCACGGTTTCATCAACTGTGTCATCCCCAACTTCCATTTTAGTGTTTGGCTGCATCTTCTTAAGACCTTATAATTTATTTACATACATTTATGGTAATAAGAATTTCTACCACCCTCCACAAATAGCGGGGAACCAAAGGAACTAAATCCTGCTGAAGTGTAGCTAGATGCTTCTGCCTGTCAATAGCCACCTGACTGGGACCCTTGATTCCTGTTGCAGAGGGGTGGAGGCCTGCAAGAATGTTCTAGCAATACAAGGAAACTCCTGAGAACTATTCCAAGAGGTGGAAAGCAAGGGAGTCACTTTTGCATCAAGTCCTTTTGAAATGAGATACGAAGATTCTTTAAAATGGAATCAAATACTTGTTTTCCTCATTCTGGTGGAGCTGAGCTGTGCAGGATGGGGAGTGCGTCATGGAGGATGTCTTCATTATGTGGAATCTGGAAGAATAATGAGAGTTGACCTGGAGGATCATTTGGACTATAGATGCTCCCCAAAAGTCCTCCTACTTGGTTTAAAAATATACTTTGCATCTGTATCAAAAGTGGAAGTCTGAAATTGTAGAAATTAAAGCTATTTCTGAAAAATGTTGACACATCACTATGAAGGCCTGTCTTTTGGAAAGCATATGAGAGCAATGCCTGATCCATGCTGTCAGGTCTTGCTATGGAAGAGGACATCACGACCAGCATTAAGGTCCCTCGTCTATCTTCATCTCCTTTCCCTGAAACTTGTTTCTGCACAAGTTTGGTTGAATTAAGCAATAAATGAGAGGTTTTTAAAGATCTGCCATAGTTCCTGCTTAAGATTGAGTAGAAGGTCCTAAGAGCAAAGCATGTGATTCCTTTTACTTAGAAAAAGGTGAGCCCCTGTCTTCATGGAGTTCACACTGGAAGGAAGATCATCACAAAACAACCATGCAGAGAAGTTTAAGTTGCAATGGTGGTAGGAAGGAGAGGTCTTTGGTGCTAAAAGAGGCTCTCCTTGAGCATGTGAGATTTGAGCCAAATGAGACCTGAAGTTACGGTGATAAAGGAGGGAAGTATCTGGAAGGAACAGGAGGAGCAGAGACCCCGTGAGGGTGTGGGGAGAGAGTTAGACCCTTGTCTTTTCTCTATGGTCTCTCTTTATGAGGTCAGAGTATTTTCACACCATTTCATGTCTCCTGAAAGAAAAAAATCTACAGTTTCTCCGGAAATGTCTCTCAGTTCCGCAGAATCTGAGATGGAATTCCAAGGGCTGTGAAAGAAGGAAATTGCCTCTTTTGCCTCCTCTTTTGCCAATGGAGGAGCTACGTTGAATCTTACCTCTACAGCCTGTGGTGGGGCAAATTGGAAAGAAATATATTTATTATATATTTTATTACTCCAATTAATATCCTTGGATCCAAGCCTTGGTGTTCCTTTACATTATAAAATGAATGTTAAAAAGAAGAAAATCTAGAGCACTTATCTCCTAGCAAGGGCTTTGTTAGAACTCAGAAGTCTACCTTCTTCCCTCCCTTCCCAGCATCTGACTGCTTTGCCCTGCTTATGCTCTGAAGACATGGGCTTCCTAAAAAATTCCTCACTTCCTAATGATCCTGAGTTTTATCATTTTTAAAGCATGTTTTTGCTACCTACAGGATTAAAAAGTAAAAATAATAAAGAGGCTGTCAAACTTGGCCTCTAGGCGATTTATTGCTGCCTGTGGCTCCCAGCTGGGTGCATTTTAAATAGCTCTGCTACCTCTCCATTTTTTTAAATATCTTCACCACCCTGCCCTGGTGGTGGCGACTTAATGCTGTGTGTCTGAAAATACCTACTCCTTGTTTGCACAGAAATTGTGTACAAATTGGATCAAATAGCATTTCCTTTCTCTCTTGACAGTTTGGGTGTTTTTTTTTTTTTTTAAGTGGCTTTGACAAGAGTCAGGGCCAAATTATTAAATCACCAGGTGACCCTTTGTGTTCATCAGCTGCTAATGAACTAGGAAAATTGAGTTCTCATCTGGCAAACAAACACATTTTGTTTGACAAAGGACATAAAGTATTTTGTAAACAAGAGCAAATTATTTTTTTCCTCTTAACTGGCCCTATGATCAGTGTACATGGGTTTTAGAAGTGTTTTTTTGGATTTTTTTTCTCCAAAAGTTTATGGAACTGGGTTTCTTCATGTCTTGATTACTTCTATTGTGTAAGTTGTCAGCCTGGTGTTGCTGGCGATGTAGGAAATTAGAAAGTGCTGGCCACAAAGCAGGCTAGTGTGGGTTTCAGACACAGAGTGATCAATTGCAGGTGGAGCATCCCTTGTCTGCAGTGCTTGGGACCAGAAGGCTTGGGATTTCAGATTTTTTTTTTTTAAATTTTGCATGTACATAACGTGATATCTTGCTGGCAGGATCCATGTCTAAACAGTAAATACATTTTTATATATACTTTCTACACATAGTCTGGAGGTAACTTTGTACAATATTTTTAATAATTTTGTACATGAAACAAAATTTCATGATATGGAATTTTCTACTGTAATGATATGTTGCACTGAAAAAGTTAGAGTTTGGCACATTTCAGATTTCACATTTTTGGGTTGTGGATACTAGTGACTTTACAAGTTGTTTAACATCTGTATACCTTATTTGTAAAATGGGTGGTAAAATGATGTATGTACATATATACATATATTCATTATTTATATATATTATATATGTTATATATTGTATATCTTTTATATAGTCTATACATTGTATTTATGTAGACTATATGATTATCTGATATATTATGTGTAAATATAGATGATAGTTGTTGTATATATAATATAAAGATTCATTTTCTGCTAATTAGTAGTAACTGTATCCTAAAAGTAGTAGGACAGACTTCTTTGAGGATAGAATGTCAAATTCTTTTTAACTTTTCAACAAATTATTTGGTCTTGCACTAGAATACCTAAACTCTGAAATACTTTTAAAAAGCAAATTAGGATGTTAGAGGTTTTTGCCTTCGTGTCTGCTCTTTCAAATTGCGGCAAGAATTTCATAGTTCTTCAGTTAACTTCTAGGGGTTCTTGCTCTACAAACAGACCATAAGGTAGAAATGGACATTTCTTGGTTTACATTGCTGCCCCATCATTTACTGGCTGTGTGACTTTGGGCAAATTGTTTGATTCTCTTTTTTGTACAACTCTTTTGTACAAAAGAGGGGATGGATTTCAGTAAGACAACAAACATAACTCACTTAAAATACAGAGTATGGCCCAACGATGCTGCTCGGTATATAATAGAAAATAGTACAACCAGTAAAAGCATTATTGTTTCATTCCTTGGCAATTAAGAGATTGTTGTGATTGTTAAACAAAACCAAATAACAAAAGCTAGTTACATGGAGTCTGGTTGGAACTGAAAGGCATCTTGGTGGTGTCTCCATGGAGGTGGTCTCTAAAGGGTGGAAGGGAAGTTGTGGATCCCTAGTTCATGGGAAGGGAAGAAAGGAGGACGATCATGAGAGATTGTCTTGTGAGTCTGTATCCATTGGTCTTACCAACCTTGGAGTTCCTTTTGAATACATGGATCTCTTTATGATCCATTGATGACTCTGCCCCTCCTCTCCCCTCCTCTTGCCCACTGTGTCTAGCAGAGCCTATGGTCAAAACCTCCCCAGGGGATCTGAAGCTACTTCATGCACAGATGTGGGAATCAGGCAGTGACACTAACCATGCCTTTGTCTTGTTCTTCACCCTGTCCAGGGTCCCTGGCAGGCAGTAAGCAGTTTCTCATATGTCACAGTGGATATTTGTTTTATTAAATGATCAGATTAAAAGAAAAAACAAAAACCCAAACCTTCTACCTCAAGTAAATCTAGTGGACAACTCTTCTTTCACAAAAGAAACTCTGGGTGGGATTTTTCCAAATCCTAGCCTTCTTCCCTTGGCCTGCAACCAGTTTCACTATCCTTCCAGTGAATCTCAAGCCTCAGTTCCAACACTGCTTCTTTTCTGAGAAATATAGCCTCTGTTTCAAGGAATCCACTCTAAGGAGCAGTTCACTGATGTAAGATACACTTTGTGAAGTGTCCTGACTGGAGACCTGGAAAACAGGTTTTTGGCCCTGTGTGTGATCTTGAGGATCTCTCTCTGGAGATGTAGTCTTTTCCCCTGTAAGTTAGAGACCAGAACATTTATGTCTCAGGAGTATTGTGCACATTAGACCAGGCCAAAGCATCTTCCCTGCTGCCCCACATGCTTATGTTTGGAAATTGTTCAGGAAAAAAATGAGGATGATTCGTGGAGTCCTTTCAAACACAAAAAACTTATTATTCTAGTAATTACTAATCTGTGTATAAAGCTTTCAACCTTCATTGTTCAGTGTCACTAATTTCTTAAAATAGAGGAATAACTCTTATATTATACATTCACCCCTTTAAAAGTACTCAGTTGAGGGGTTTTAAATGTATTCTCCAGGTTGTATGATTGTTCCCACGTCATTTCCTCACTCACAAGAAGGCCCATACTCAATAGCAGTCACTCCTCATCCTCCTCTTTTCCCAGCTCCTGATACCCCCATTCTATACCTGTGGATTTGGGCCTGGAGATTATGGAAGGGTTTCTCCCCATCAAATCTGGAATGCATTTTTTTGAAAACATGGATTGGTTTGATCATGAAAATAAAAATGAAAGTAGCAGAACAAAAATTCAACAACTTAGCTTCTAGACATCATTCTGTCCTTTGCTTTCTGGGTCACTGTGGACAGGAGATTCTTCTGTTGGAGTCTGTTTCACCCCCTCCCCACTCATATTTTGTGTTGGGTTAGAGCAATGCCCATCCCCAAGCTTCTTGCTTCCAGGCATAAACACAGTGGTCTTAAGTGAGTGGTGTGTGTGTGTTGTGTGTGTGTGTGTGTATGTTGAATACTTTCATGTGTCCAGCTTATTCATGTCACTTGCTGCTTTCATCCACACAGCAGGCACTGCCCTCATTTTTTTTTACTTTCAATGTTCTGCATGGATATGGAAATAAATAAACATATTGTGTACACTTGTGTGTGTGTGTGTGTGTGTGTGTGTGTGTGTGTCTAAAACAATGGCATGTTTTCACACAGCTTTCTGTTGAGGGTTAATGAGATAATTTACATAAATTACTTAGCTCCAGGTCTGGTGAGTACTGGATATGTGCTGTCTGTTAGGTGAATGATGATTCACTCCAGGTAGGCCAGTTGACCTTTGCTTGCATGAAATTTGTTCAGTGATTTGTCCCAAATTCCCTAGTTAGTATCTTCCTGATCTTTGGATGGGGTCTCTGATACCTGCTTTCCTTCCCTCTTTGCCTTTCACGGGTTCTGGAACATGTCGGTGTGAAATTACAGATTTGGAAAACAAATGCTATGAGTGGAGCAGTTTGCCTTTCCCTGTTCTCTTCAGGTGGCCTGGGAAATGAAAAAATGTCCAAACGAAGACAAATTTATTGGATACCAAAACCACCAGGCTATTGATCCTTTAAGCCAGGCAGCCAGGTTATGAATTGGGTGATAAAAATGGGGAGCATTTAGCTTGAGTTGGGGACAGCTTAGTGTATTTTCACAGCTATTGGATTCTCCTGACAGCCCCACAACTAATGAACTAGCACTTATTAAAGAGACTGTTTACTGTGCGCTGCATCTGTCTAATGTGCTGTGTGAGTGAGATACAGCTAGACAATTGGATTTTTAATGGATGCCTTCGTGCTTG